CTTTTATACTGATTCATTATTAATTAAGCCATTTTAAAACATTATTTTATGACCAAACCACAAGGGACGACAGATGTAAATTAGCTTATAGCTAACTCTGGTACAGTTAATTGGCTGCACACTATCCCTGTTAAAAATTAACAAATAAATACATCAATTTGGTGTGTTTTTGAAACCTATTTATGTTTCAGTTGTGACGACGGAGGATTAGGGCCACGTTAAAACATTTTTTTTTCGAAATTAAAGTCGTAAATTTACCAGAATAAAGTTGTACATTTACGAGATTAAACTCGTAATTTTAGGAGAATAAAGTTGTACATTTACGAGAATAATCTCATAAATTAACGAGTACGAGACCAGCCTGTGCAAAATGATGAAAGTAGAACTCTTAAAGTATTTTCCTCTGCAGACAACTTCCTCCAAGTCAGTGTGGTTCTTTCTTTGGAAAAGCCACAGTTTCTTGCAGTATCTTTTCAGGGTGCTGATATTTTATGACAATGTGAAGGTGATGTGCCAAAAGCATGTGTAGTTTCATATCTGTATAAGTAAAGCACCAACACAATTTGTGTCTGTTATTGGTCTGCCTTGTTAAAGTGTCTCATGTGCAGAGCCAGTTTGTGTCCTGTTCATCATTTTACAGATAAACAAGGTCTTGCAAGTTGAAGTGAAAACTTCTCTTGAACTAACTGTTTTTACCGACTACACAAGGAAGTTTCCTATTTCCTTATTAGTGAAACCTTTAGGACAAGATGCTCCATGTTTGTCATTTGAGAACAGGATGCTGCTGCTCTTCTGATATAGACTAAAATAATGACCTTATTCTTTTAGACTTTAAGAGTTCTACTTCCATAATTTTCGAGCAGGCTGGTCTCAAATTTATTCTCATAAATTGACGACTTTAATCTCGAAATGTCATTTTTATTTTTTTTAACGTGGCCCTAATCCTCCATCGTAGTTGTGAACTATTAAAGTCATATCAAGTTTTCATTCAGAATGAAAAATAAATGATTTTGTTTAATATCACCCAAATGAGGTTCCAATATATTAAAGAACAGACTTCTTTCTTTTGTCTTTTTGAGGCCTATAAAATTCAGATTTTAGGGCCCCAGTTCAACTGTCCTAAGTCTAGAGCTACAGTATATCAAATTAATCATTTCTTTACTGTAAGCGTTCATTCCAAACCTTAGAAATAAACATTATTCCAAAGGTGTTCAACAAAGTGCAGGGATTTTAGGAGCAGACCCAGAAAGACAAACATGTCAAGGGACAAGAAAGGTTGAGTGAAGGATGACTTGCCCACTCATTTGTTTAAAAAAATGTGTTTAATGTTTTGAATATCACTGAAGCTTGAAGGCATTTGAATGCGTGAGTGTGTTTGAATGAATATTTTAGATTGTATTCATGGGTAGATCTAAAATTGTCTGGTATTTGACACGACAATTATTGTCTGAGAATGGTGAATGAAAAAGCCTAAAAAGAATAATTACAAAGAAACCTTGACACCATAATTTTAAAGCAACTACATGGAAACTTTATGACAGTCCGTGTGGAGAAGAATGTAAACTAAATATTTAGATGTATTTTATATGTATTTTTAACGTTTATATATAACATTTAACATTTAGATAAAACATTCAAATATTTAGATATAATATTTAACATTTAAATTTGCCAATGAAATTATCTTACATTTTTATTCACAAAAGTAAATATGACAAAGTTCACAAATATTTCTCTAAATGTGAATAAAAAGAGATGTTTTAGGGCTAAATGTGGAGAAATGTTGTTGTTATTTGTAGTGTGCGCAACTTTACAATCGGCGCCCCATACAGCTGGGCTTTCCAAGTTCAAGTCATGGGCTTCTGCAGTAGTGTTTTCCCAAAATTCTTGGAATCCTTCTTCACGGAGACATTTTATGTCTCCTCTGAGTGTGTCAACAATCTGTTTTGCGATCTGCATGTGTAACTGGCGTTTTTGTAGTGCAGCGTTGACTGTTTCCATGCGAGAGAAGAATTTAAGCATGAGTTTTAAGAAAAAAAAGGTGCTAAATTTCTGCAGGTGTAGAAGAAGTCCGCTGGCTTTACCTCCTGCATCACCTTTGTCATTTAAACACAGGTCCTCTAGAAATTCCATCAGCGCACTGTAGTTAGACGCAATGGATTGCAATTAGGCCGCCTTCACTGTCCAGCGCGTAGAGCACAGAGGTCGCAAAGAGGGTGCGTCTTTGCCTTGAAACCCTTGGAACCAGGAGAAACGCTTAGGTGAATTTCTGATGAGGGATATCATGTCACGAATAAGTGACATAAAGTTGCGACATGCAGGAATATTTTGGGCGACATCATGCACAACCAAATACTGTACTGTGCTCGGGGCTCCTGTCCTAGCACGCGAGCTTCCAAACCAGTTCTAATGCCAGACACATTTGATGCGCCGTCGTAGCGCTGTCCTCTACATTTCTGAACTGGCAGTGAGAATCTCAACAGAACATCCTTTAGCAGCTGAAACAGCGCTTCTGCTGTTGTTTTTGATGTCTCGTAAAATCCAACGAAAAGTTCCTCTGGCTCCAGATTTTTAGCAACAAAACGGAAGCAGACAGACACCTGTTCCCTGACTGTTATCTCGGCTGTCTCGTCCATAATCACGGAGAAAAACTCAGCAGATTTTAATTCTTCTATTATAGTTCTAAGCACATCATGGGCAAACATTTCTGTCATCTCGTTCAGGACATCATGAGAGAGCCACCTGCTCTCCTTATGCACAAGCCATGTCTGTAATTCCGATATGTCTTGAGCACGCAAGTTTAACGACTGGGTCAAGTTGACTCCTCATCGGTGCTTCCTCGGATGGCCAATCCCTGACATGAAAGGGATTGGATTGAGGAAAGAATCGCCAACAAAGCTGTTCTGGCAGCTGCCATTTGTTTGCGTTTACCAGCAGAAATGGAAGCGGCGATGTTAACACCGGAATTAACAGCAGCAGCAATGCTAACAGCAGCTCGGTGAACATTAGATTTCTCATGGAATCTGAATCTCTCCAGTGCTTTGGCCCAGCTGGAAAAGCCATCCTGCACAAAAGCTTTCAAAGACTCCTGATCATGTGTTGTGGATGGGAGAGGAGCACCAGTTGATTTAGCTGTAGTGCAAACCTCACAAAACACCTTGGTTTTAGCCGCATCATACCCTATCCATGGGAAATGTACTTTCCAGCTAGCTTGAAACATCCGGCCCTTCTTCTGTCCATCTTCGCTGCTGCCGCTGTTTTCCTCACTTGTGTTAGCTGACACATTGGAAGCATTGGCACTGGAAACTGTAACATTGCTTGATGTTTTTGTTTTTTTAATCACAAATTTGTCCAATTCCGATTTCTGTAACATTAGTTATGTGTGTATGTTTCTGGTTGACTCAAGAAGAGACATTAGTTATGTGTGAATGTGTAATATCTGAGTATGCTAATTTGAATAAGGAAATACCACAGCTAAAAAAAAGCTCCGAGCACTCATGGAATCGGCACCTATGGCATGACATTGTTTATTTTAAGTGTACATGCATTAGACTGTAAGAGTAACTCAAAGAACAGACTTTGTGGTGCTTGACAAGTACAGAGTAGAGACAGGAGTTTTTGATTGTCTGGTTTGACTAGGTTTATTGACAGTGTATTGTTACAGACACTCAGCTTATGATAGCTTATTTAAGAAGTGCATGAGAACCAGGGTAAAGAGAACTTTGTATTCTGAGCAGCATTTTTTAATTAATAAACATGAATAATAATTTGACAGGATCACTCCAGGTTCAAGGTGTGCTTCATCTACTCAAACAACTTGCAAGAGATTGTTAAAGAAATGCATGGCCAGAATCAAGATGAAGCCCTACTATTCTGACATTAATTGCTTAATCCTAAATTTCCCACAATGCAACCTGAAAGTGTCTTGCTTTGCTCCCTGACTGGCTGGTAAACGCTCACAGCTTACCAACTCCAAACCCCAGAGTTTGTAACAGGCTATGTGTTTGAATTTGAGTCCAGTCATATACAACCCGCATGACACGGTTGACATCATTAGGGGTAATTGAATTTAAATTTTGAGCCTAATGGGATTAATTTCTTTGTGAAATAAAGTTTAGAAGAAAAAAAAAAAAAAATGTTCCCTACAGAGTTGAACTCCACATTTCAAGTAGATTGTGCAATTTGTGTAAAACTGTTGGGAGTTCCATCCGTTTTGTCCACAATATTTTGGTCTTCAGAATAAGGGATCTCTTAAAAACCTGGAGGTAGACCATATCATGTAGCGCTTTAGCTTTGAGATTTCTCCCCCTGGAGAGCTCTCTAGGTGTGAAAGGCACCAGTTTTGTATTTCTCACAGTATCAGTCAGTATGTTTAATATGTCATTAGTTCCTTTAGAAAGTTGACACGCCCCTAACACCCCCAGCTTGAAGACTGGGGGCCTGATTCACAAACGGATTGTGCAGCTTTTGCGCCCACTAAATCTGTGCACATGACACAAAAAGACAACATCTAGTTCACAAAACACGACCAAAGGTTTAAATGCTCTCCAAACTGCACTGAGTGTTGTTTTACTCTTTCAGTTGTCCCCTCTTGATCCATTAGGGAGGAAGCTTTATGTTGACATATAATTGTGCTCCATCAGCACGAGAGTGCAGGTCCACACAGAGTAAAAGGGTCAGAAAGGTTCTCTCTACATTCAGACCCAAAGCAAGAGCAAACTATACGGAGCAAGACAACTTTATTGGCATTTTTGTGCCTGGATATCTTTAGTGTTAGATGCTTTTTGAATTAAACCTTGAGGCACAGATAGCGGGAGCAAACGATGAACAATTTTTTGGGGCCATTAGCTATATCCCAACGTAGTGAATCAGGCCCTGAGAGCTATCCCCATCCTTACACAGGGTGGCATACAGCTCATCAAAATGCTGCATTTATGACTTGCTCTCTGCAGATTTCAAGTTTGAAGTGTAAAACTTGAATAAAAGAAAATCTCGAAAAGGAAAAAAATGTTCCAGCAGGAGTAAGGTTAGGATGCTGAGGTAGGAACAGGGGGCTGCAGAGAGGGCGTCAGTGAAGAGGCATAGAAAGAGTCAGGGACAGCCTTGGCGTACTCCACCAGCTCATAGGAATCTCTGATGTCTGTCAGACCAAACCAGAAGACAGTCCACACTCCATTAACGAAGCTGCCATCACAGTGTTTGAAATACCTTCACAAGAAGAGAAAGAGAAAAAAATAGATCAGGTGTTTACAGAGTTCATTCTATCATGCTGCAGTTTATTCTCCCCCTCCCCTTCTGCGGAGCGGGATTCATCGCTGAAAATGAAAAACGAAACTTAAGAGTTAGCCCATAAAAATAACTCCATCTCGTATATAGAACTGTTTGAGATTTTCCAAACTGACAGGGCGCAAGAAACAGTTATCTGAAGAGTTTGCACAGTTAAAGTTTGCACTTTGGGTGGTGAAACAACGAACCTTTTTAACGAGTCCGAGAGACGTTAACGTCTGAGAGTCAAACAGAGCGGCGCTCAGACAAACCGTCAGTGATGGGAGATATAATCCCGTTTGTTTAAACTGATGCTGCCTCTGTTTTTCTGATCTCTCTTGTTTTTTAGATGTTACTAACAAGCCCCTCCACTCGAAGCTCACCTGTTGTGATAACGGAAATGGGAATTCAAACAAAGTCATGAAACGGTGGAAGGCGAATGTATCAGCCTGAACTCGGTTGTTAAAAAACAGGACAATCATTTATTTCTATGCATTGATTTCCATGCATGCTGCTTAAAGTGATGTCAGTCAGCAGCCCTTTCTCCCCTTGTTCAGTGTGTAGCAGGTGAGAGCAAGTAACCATGGTGACTGTCTGTCAATCAACGATGCCCCGCTCCCTCTGTTAATAAAACTCTCCTCTCAGTCAAACTTACTTTGAACATGTGACACAGAATAATCACATTTTGGATCATGTTTGAATTCTACACGTTTTCAAATGAATGCATTTCTGTATAAAAATTAACCTGATGAACACTAAACTAGATTTAAAGACACAATACTAAATCATCATTCCAAGTTGTGCAAAAAAAAACACTCAAATTGTGCATGAAAATTGATCAGAAAGTAGGGAAAGACATTTCTGGAGTTAAAAATGTTTTGGGAGATTCCCCCAAACAAAGAAATAAAAAAATATATATGTATATATTATGATAAAAAATTATTAAATCTTGATCGTGATACTGACATGAAGGAAATCGTGAATATTTTTTTTCATTTCCAATCAACTCAAACAACAAGCAATTGTGCTTCAGCACAGTGCGGAACAACTGCGCCTCGTGTGAGCGCACCCAAGCCCAATATATGTGCTGCAGGCAGAGCTGAGAGTATTAACTGCGGAGTCAGGGCACCCTCTGCTGGACTAAGTATGTGATGACAGCATTTTTAAACGAAGTACTGTGTTCAGTGTTCAGTATAGGCCCATATCAACCCTCCAAGTATGGCAACTAATGTAGACTGTAGATTAGGGACGTTCCTAGGCGACTAATTTTTAAGCAGTTATTTAAATTCAGACCAACAGACTTGTCTAAAGATAAGACAACGGTCAAAATGGTTTGCAGATGGGCCAATGTTTGTAAGCAGTTTGTAAGCGCCGATAAAAGAGCATGAAACGTAAAGTGAACTCCAACAAGAAAGTCTCAAGAATATGTTTGTGTGCATTTGTGTGCGTCATACCAGGGATTTATCTTGTTGGTGGCTCTGGACCTCCAGAACAGTTTGCCCAGGTCCTGTCTGATACATTCCCACAGGATTTGGCTGGTGCCCTGACCCTGCTTACTACTGCTCACAACAAATTTATCCAGATAGGGAGTGCCTCTGTTCACCGGCTCCATGGTGATGATGGCTGCCGCGCTGTACCTTTAGGGACAGAGGGATAATATTGAGGGGAAAGACTTTGTGGGTTTACATACTTGTTGTTGTATATACTGTGCGGATGATAGGGTGCAGATGTATTAACTACTGATCATCTCAATTGCTGTGTTATTGTTTCTGTTGTATTTTTTCCAGGAATAGTTTCACACACCCTTCAGAAAGATAGATGGAGTAGAGTCTTCCTTTCAGAGAGTCAATGTAGTCTTCCCTCAAAGTTTTATCAAACGACATGTTGATGAGAGCCAACAGCCGCTCTTGATCGATCCCGTCCAGAGAGGTGTACCTGCATACAAACACACACAAACACTCATGTACTCTGAAGGTGGTAGGTGAGCAGTGTGTGTTCTTAAAGAAATCAACAAGGCCTGTTAAAAATGTAGGTGCCTATTGGGACATTTTGATAGTTGATATCCTTTTTCACAGTTTAAAGCCAAATATTCCAAGATTTTAAACTTGTGAAGTGTAAAGTGACTCTGCATTTGTGGTTGTGAATATATGGAAGTACCTACCTATGTATGGGGTCTCCGTTTTTAAAGAGAGTCCCAGACCCTGAGAAAGCAGTCAAGACAAAGAAGAAGCAGTTGTAGAATAAATATAGACAAAACCAGCGCCCCAGACAAATATACCCTATGGCCCACTCGAGTTGCACCTCTAAATAGCTCGCCATTAAGTTAGTGAGCATGTCAGCAGTCTCACCTCTGTGGCTGAACAGCTCGCTCAGCAGAGTGTCTGCGGAGGTGATCACAGCAGACGACTCGGTCGGCAGCTGATTCAGGAGTCTGGCTATGGTGGACACTTTGCGCTTTTCTGCAGCACTCAGCCACACGGCTGTGGACAGACTGGGTAGGTCACTGGGGAATGATACTGTTTCCAACACCTGTAACACAAATACCATTATAAAAAGAGTGAATGAGAAAAAGAGAGAAAAACATACATCCTTGCATTTATCAATGCCTGATCATTTAACCCCAAAGAGGCACCAGTCAAGTTAAGACCAGCGGCCTGTACTATGAAGTAAGTTCAACATACCCTGGGTAATGTTTGGTTATCTTGCTTCTCTAACTCTGACAAATGAGACCACTGAAATCCATTATCAAAGCAATAAGTAAACCGATAGCTTCTATGAGTTCACACAGAGGGGTCATGTTAGCAGAATTTGTACAATCACAAACATGAACAGGTCAGCTGTCAGCAAATCGTCATTTTTTACAAACAAATATATAAGAAAAGTAAACGTATGTACTTCAGAATAAATCACCTCAGCTGCAGCAACAAATGCAGCAAGAACAGAGGCCTGTAACAATGAAGCGAGTTCATCATAATCCAGGTATCTTTAGGTTATCCGGCTTCACTAATCCCCACTAATGAGATCTTGCTTAGCAGTCACATGAAGCTGGTGATCTTTTTTCTGTCTCCTGTAAAGCACATTGAGTTTACTTTTACAACTCAATAAATATGATCCCTCAAATGAACTTTTCGAAGATATATTATATCTACTACCGTATACAGTGTGACATAGATGAGGGTGATAATACTTGTTGTAATCCATATAGCGCACTCTGCAGGTGACAGCCAGAAATAAAACTGCTAGTATAATTCAACAATGCTCAAATGAAATGCTTTTTGACAGGTAAACAAATCTAGTAAAATCGGCGCATATCTGGGAGAAAACTAGCCGATACTGATAGTCACTTGTTATGCCAATATCACCCGATATTATTGGCTGGTCGATTAATCGGTTAGCAGCATCTTACCAATCACTGACATGATCAAGTCTGCCGTCAGCAGAATGTGCAAAATTTGATATTAGAAAAATATAAAAAAGTTAAACATAAAAAACAGGCTACAATCAATAGAGCTGCATTTAAAAATTAATTTCTTGCACAGATATATTCTTGCAGCGTGTCTGACAGTTAAAGACGTAATATTTAAGCTGCAGCGATAATACATTTGATTGAATAGTTTGAGTTCCTTGTAAGGATCCAGCAACCAGAAGACAAGGTTGAAATCTCCCACAACAGGCATTCCTGTTCAATACAGGTACATCCAATCTGTAGAGCAGGACTATTCATTTACAAATTCAAAAGGGCCATATTTGAAAACCAGGACATTTAAGCGGGCCGGACACTTTCAGCAGCAATCACAGTTTTATTTTTTCCTGCTTTCACTAAAGGCAAATTTTAAATAAATGCAAATCAATGTATTAAAATACAAACATTTATTTTTGTTTCACGTTTTAAATATTACATCTTAAAAAATAAGATACATTGTTGTCACATATGTGAGCATGAACAGAATTAACTACATAGAACCATAGAAAGTGGTAATAACAAGTAAAACAATTATTTCTATCTGCCTGTTTGTCATTCTTTCTCCTGTGTGTCTACCATTCACACAGAATAGGATTTTCTTTCATGTTTGAAAAAAACATTTTGGTCACAAATCTGGCAGACGCACATTAACCAGCAATCAGTGCTGTCATTGCACACCATAAAAAAAGCTGACAACATTTTGTGTTTGGAGTGGAAGTAAAACAAATAAATACTTTGCAGTCCAGGCAGGTTCAAACTGAAATAAATTGGATTCACGTATGCTGACTGGATTGGGGCCACTCTGAGGTTGCCTGCGGGCTGCATCTGGCTGTTTCTCAGATTAAAGAAACAACAAGGTCTTGGATTAAGCAGACACAGATGAGAGTCATACCTTTTGTTGTTGGCTGCAGAGGCCTCCTGAGTTGTTCAGGAACATGACCTTGTGGGGTTGCAAGGCTCGAGAGATAGCGGCCGTCACCTCGGTTGGGTCCAACATTATCGAGCAACCTCGCCCGTCCCTTCCGACCGGACAAACCAAAGGGATTGTCCCGCAGTCAAGACTCCACTGTAGGAGGCTGGTGTCCACGGCAACAGAGGACGCAGCACTGCAGAGAGAAAGGGAAGTGGAGGGAATAAAAGTAGTAAATGAATACAAGTGTCACATCTGGAAAAATACAACAAATGGACTAATTTATCCAATTAACTTGACCTCAATTCCCAACCTAAGTCCCTACAGACTGAGCTACTGCCACTGAGCGAAAAAGGACAGACAATAGTGTGTTAATGTCATTGTTGCCCTGGTTACAGGGACTTGGAGGTTCTTCAGTGAGGTCCAGGAATCTTTATATATAAAACGGCCATATGCAGGAGAGACTGACTCTCTCCCATATCTCAATGTTTCCTATCAGAAGCTTTAACATGTTTACTTTGAGCTGTCAACTTGTGATCGGATTACCGGGAACACATGTTAATACCAGGTGTAAGATCCAACAGACCATCTCCTACAGACATTTGCTAGGCAGTGAAAAAAATAATCAGACTTTCAAGAAGTATTTTAGACACACAAAAACTGTCCTTTAATGTCTTCGTAGTTCATGGGCAAAGTTATAATGTAAGCAGAAAAGTGAACATTATACCAGTGCTTGTAACATTGCATTAACAAGAGGGGTGTATGGACAGCGGACCTTCTCTCTCTTTCTCTGAAACTGATGTGATTCCTGAGAAGGAGTTTGAAGTAGGGAAATGAGCAGAAACACCAACCCAAAAAGAAACCCAGTGCCTAGGTGTGTCTGGACCCTCACCTGCTTCCACGTGGGGCTTCATGCAGTAACAGGAAGGACTCAGCGGAGAAGAGTGGCAGGACAGAAGCTGAGTGCTGCTGCAGGGCTTCTGTAAGCTGTTGGCTCCATTTTACAAACTCTTGGGTTAAACTAGATCCAGCCACCGGTTTCATGTGACCCATCTCCTCGTAATCAGACCGACCCATCACAACAACAGGCTTCATGTCCATTCGCTGAAGGAAGGAGAGCCCAAAGGCCAGGTCCTGAACCATTTCCCTGCTGTCAAACACTGAGCTGTCCACCTGGGAGAGACCAAAACAGAGAAGCAAAGATGCAAGTTAGCAATCTTTCCAAACTACGACAACGACAACAGATCAATTTGTCTATAATTGTTATATAAGGGCTTCTTTGTTTTGAACCTGCTTTATCTTTTTAGTCATTGTTTTGTTGACTTCTTTCAAATTCAGTATTTTGTTATTGTTGTTAAATTAGGGTACCTGCTCAGATAAGACACTAGTTATGGGTTGTCAAATTTCTGTATGTCTCAGCCTTTGAAATGTATTTTATTCATAAATATTCATGACTTGGACTTAAAAAGTCACTGATTTGTTGCCATTGATGTTCTTACCTCGAAATACCATGTATTTGAATTCTAAACTAACTATAACCGAACACTAATAAAGTTAAGCCTACTTTCGCACAAGGCCGGTTCTAGGCATGAGCGGGGGGGGGATTTGTTAGGGTTATTACACAAAGAAACAGAAGACTGATCCTGTAAGTAACATATTTTGAGTCACAAAACTCTAAAAAAAAAACACAAAACATGAAAAATTAATTTTAAATACCTGTTAAAAAATGATTGTGAAGACCTAAATATGTCCTAAGACAGGGGTTCTCAAACTTTTTGGGCTTGTGTACCCCCTTTCAGGATTTTTTTCAGCCAAGTACCCCCTTGTCCGGCCAAGGACATTTTTCAGGAAACAATTTGGTAAAAGAACATGACTTAATGAATGTATGTGGTGTTCATGAAACTGTTGGCTAATGTCACCCCACAAAAGACAAACAGTGCTTCGAGAGGATCAGAATACATGGAGGTAAATCCCATAAAAATGTATTCACCTAGATTAGTGTTGGGCGAGATGGAAAAAATATATCACGATTTTATCACAATCTTTTTTCATACTGAAAACATTTTTGCAAGTTACCAACCAGTTTAACCAAACTTATTTCCCTGTATAATGTTTTTAAATGCACAAATACTGTACTTATAAGATTAGTCTATTTAAAATGTTTTTTTGTTGGGGGGGGGGGGCTGGACATCGCCCCAGAACATTTTTAACACCAGAAATGTATTTCCCTGCATTCTGAGGAATTTTTAAAACATGTAGACTTCATACATAATCCAAAATGTGATTATTCTGTGACACATGGTCAAAGTAAGTTTGAAGGACAGACAGTCACCATGGTTACTCACTCTCACCTGCCTGCTGCACACTGAATGAGAGGAAGAATGAGAGCTAGGAGATAGGAGGGACAATTCGGACTGTCCTAAGATGGGGTGGTGACAAGTAAAGGTGTCCGGGAAAATTAGACTATAAACATGTCATGCAAAATTGAGCAAAACAAATTGTAAGATACATGAAAGATAAGGGGGGTGGAGGTGGGTTTAAAATTAAATAAACTACAGGCGCAAGTTTAAAAGTTAGGCAGTTATTACTTTGGTTTACTTTAGCTTTAGATAAAAAACATAAAACAATCCCGCCCATTCAAAGCAGTCTAGGAGCGGGTCTTCTTCTTATTACGTAACACTAAACTACTTTTTAAAATATCGCGAGCGGGCTTCCGTACCGGTTTCATCATCCTCACAATAGACCATATGGCAGCTAGACCATATGGTCTATATAAACTTTGTAAGAGGAAAAATGTTTAATTTTATGTAACGTTTGTACAAAACACTACAGGTTCACTGCGTCCTACCTCCATTACAGCAAAAGCAGGAGACTGGGCCTTAGTTGCTCTCTGGAACTGGGTCAGCCAGTACCGAGCCTCCCTGGGATCTCCGCCGACTTCATTCAGAAAGGCCTTTACGTCACGGTAAATCAGATGCCGGTTGGCCCGAACCTGTCGGTTTGCGGCGGAGAGGTACACCGGGTTCTCCTGCTGGGCCAAAGCCGCGGTTTTTCCTACCGTGCTCGCCGCGTCAGAGCTCATAGCGCGCCGCCGCTGCATGTCCACCGTCTTCCGCTGGTGCAGGCTGGAACTCCGGTTCAGTGCCGGGGCTGACGGGCTCGACAGGTACTTTCCTGCCATCACCACGGCCCGACAACCGGAGGAACCGCCGTTCACTTTGGCCATGTTTAATGCTGACAGCAGAATTGCGAGTCCCTCGGACAAGCGGCTCCGCATGAAGTTAAGGGCGACTGCTTGCAGCTGTTGCCGAGTACTGAAGAGCTTCTGCATTGACACTCCCAGGTTTTTTTTTTTTTTTTTTTTTTTTTTTCCAGATCTAGGATATTAAGTGTGCAATCAGGATTTACTGAACTGGTTCAACTTTCTTATCATGTCTTTTCGTTGCCACAGCAACGAGTCATAGTTAAAAGCCTATTTAAATGTATCAAATTGGATTTTTTTTTTTAATTACCAAACATAAGCCCCCTAAAGGATGAGCAGTGATCTTCACTTCACCTTTTCATCATTCAATCATTTTTAGTTGATAATGGTCATTTTTAATTTCCACAGGCTGCTCAAGGCCTATGATGCGAGTCGTGACTGATATCTGAACAAGTGGAAAACATTGTTATCTAACCCTCTACATTGTCTTATGTAGAGTGTGGGACAAAAATAACACCAATAACAATGGAGAAACCTTAGACAGTGGGAGAAACAAGTGGACCAGTGAGTGGATCTATGGCTCCAGTACATGCTGGAAGCCCCCCCAATGTACCCACTTTACTGCTGCATTCAAGTGATGTCGGACACCATCGGAAACCCGGTTGTCCGAGTTGGAAAATGCACACGCTCAAGTCGTAACTCGGGAAAGAATAAGGTGCCCGACTTGACGTCAGATTCGTCATCACGAGTGGCAAAGTAGCCTACGTTTTGTTAAGATACTTATTTTTTTTAAATTAATTAACGTAGGCCTACTGCACATGAACTATTCGCGCCATTAAAACTTGTGAGAGACATCCCAAATGGTCTTCGTAGCATCCACGCTGTTTCAGTTGTTGTTACAATATTCAGACTTCATAAACTGAAAACACGGGAACACACTGAAGTCAAAAGAACGACTTTCCAACTCGGAAGCTTGGACCATCCGAGGAGCAGATGAATGCAGCATAAGCGACGGTGGCTGGGAAGTGCAAAGCAAAATGACAAAGTGTGTCGCACTTTTGCAAAATTTGAGACAAATTTACATTTTGAAAAACCTATTTACATTTTAGAAAACAAAATTACAAAACCAAAACGCTTTTACCGAGGACAAAATACTTTTACATTTTAGAAAACAAATTTAAAGCGCTGAGACAAATTTACAAGTGCAGAACACTTTTGCCAGTCCCTTAGCAAACAAATTTACAAATTAGTTTGGTAAGGGACTAGTAAAAGTATTTTCCCTGTTGATGGAAAGGGAATGTACCAATGCCGAAACTGACCCATCACCAAACTGATTGAGTGAGGGGTCATTTTGTTTGTTTTGTTTTATCAACCTATATTTTTACTCAAGGGGTCGTTGAGGGGCAAACCTTGCTCATTTAGCCTACGATGATCTCAAATCTATAGCAGATGGAATTAAAAGACAGAAAACAAAGCAATAATAAAAACCAGAGGAAAGATAGGGAAATATATATCCTGACTTGAGAAAACTATAGCTTATAACACACCTCATTTTGCTCTCAGGACTAGGCTATTTCTTGAGACTATGACTTAGGCTACTAAGTTTTGATTTAAATCTCCCCATTTGTCCTATATTTTTTCTTCAAAACAATTCTGGCATACCCAATCCAAATTCCCGCCCAATATCAGAAGAGTTGGCAAAAGAATATAGGACAATATTTCAAAATTTGGATCATATGTATATAGGCTAACACCCATACCTTGGGCAAAAGGCCCATTATGATTTCAGGACCAGTGACTTTAAAATTAAGAGTACCATGGAGAGCTGTATTGAAAGGACTTACAAGCAACAAGCTGTGGTGACAGTTCCTACATTGGGTCGTTAGGTTGTCTTTGTTTCCTACAACTAAAAATACCTTTGGCTCAGCACAGCATACATGCTACACAAAAACTGCAACCGGTTTAACGACAAAGGCAGGTTCTCCAAAGGGGAAGGTGTCAGTAGCGGTTGTTTGAATCTACAACCTCACCGCTAGATGCCACTAAATCTTACACACTATTTCTTCAAAGCTCCTGTCAGAACCTTGGGAAGTGTGTCAATCTCTGTCACCCCTTTGGAGAAAGTGGTTCCTTTTATCTCTTTGCTGATCATGGCCTTTAACTTTCAGTAGTATTTTCTGATTGACAATCGAATTCTGCTCCCTTTTAACAGTCAAATGTCGACACGATACGATGCAATACGATTCACTTTATTGTCCCCTCTGGGAAATTTGTCTTGGACTCAAAGTGCTGCCAAATATACAGCTGCTTCCACGAGAATCAATAAATAAAAACGATAGAAACACATCCACATGTTCACAGAAAGGCAAATATTGCACAAGATCTTCAAAAACACAGCAAGAGAGATAAGATAACAAAGGTAACACTATTGCACAACCCAAACAGCCTTACTAAACATTATTCAGAATTTTGATAGACCTGGATACAAAATATTTTTGCAAGTGGTTCAGTTTACATTGGGGGTCTCTGCCTTCTCAGCAAAAACGATTGGGCATGGTGCAAGAAAGAGGAAACAGGAAACACCCTGTTCTGAGCAGGGCTGAAATAGAGGGATTCATAGGCATGATTAAATACAGCATCAAAATGTTTTTTTTAACCAAAAAACTTCACAGACATGTTTTGGAGAGACATTTAAACGGTTGAAGAGGACTGTAATATGTGACCTTTAAAGACAGAAAATCTCAAGTCTGTCCACCTATTGTGTCTGTATGAAAACCTATTGCATTCCAGTGTTAACCTGACCACTAGATATTAAGCAATAAGATGAATAGAAAAACCTGTCCAGAACATGGAATATCAGGGAACATGGTGAAGAGAACTATTTGTATGTAAGATGTCAGGATTGGTTTCTAGGACAAACAAGGACTTTTGTCACATTTGAAACCAAAGTCAATGCTGAAATATGTCTTTAATGGTTTTTCCTAAAAGAAATGTGTCACAGAGGTGCCAGTTCACTTCCTGAGCACTACCGAGTTGCCCTTGACCACGGCACCAAACCTTTTTCCACCAGCTCAGCAGCACTCGCTGTGGGGCGGACTCCTCACTCTGACATCTCTCCATTAGTGCATGTCCATAGGATTTGTGCGTGAGAGTATGTCAGCCTATGTGTGTGTAGCACGTCTCAATAACACGAGTGTAAAACTGAATTCCCCCTTGTGGAATTAATAAAGTACATCTTCTTTTTCAATAACCCACAAAATGACTTAGCGATCACCTGAAGTGATAATGCACATGTGAAGGCACATGTAGCCAATCCGATTACACAGCCCCGACAGGTGTTCGAGTAAGAGGATAACAAGAAAGAGGAGGAGCAAGTTGAGGAAGAGGAAGAGGACAAGTAGAAAGTGGAGAAAGAGGTGGAGGAGACGTGGAGACAAGAAAAAAAGGAGGAAGAGGAGCAAAACACAGAGATAGCATCTTCAGGTCAATATAGAGAATAGAGAGATTTTGTGTCCCCATTGCATCCCCAATGCCAAAGAAAAATATGTTAATTTTCCCTAACTATATCATTAAAAAGAAAAAAAAAAAGCTGTTTGGATTTAGCACAGCCACGTATTCAGAAAGACCTATTTATTTGGTACCTGTGTGTTTATATAGTTTTAAACGTAGTGCTTGTTTTTGATATAAGATGCTTTGTGTTTTGTGTATTCATTTTGTTTTTTTGTGTGTGGAGTTTTGGAAACAGGGCCCAAGTTTGAGGAACTGCGCATGCCATATTAAAAAACAGTGAAACCAAGAAAGTCAATCTGACAACTTAGTCAATGACTATGACAGCACCTTTGTCTACTGATATGTGTTGACTCTTTGACCCGGTTCATAGACATTACCACTTCTGCATGCAAGCCAAACGTTATTTATAACTCCTCTTAGATGTCACTATTTGATGACATCATCACTCTGTCTCTGTTTCTTGCTATCTCTGTCTGTCATCAGGCTGGCCACAGAGGACTACATCTGCCCTGGCTCCCCTCAGGCAAACAAACACACTGCAATCTCACAGAAACACACAGACACACACTTACACGCACACACAGTGAAGGCAGTGTGGAGGTGCACGTACTGTATAATCTGCAGGAAGTGATTAGGGGGTGTGAGATCAAAGGGTTTTTTTTTGCAACGGGAAAACATTCCCCCCTCAGTTCTCCCCTTGAGGATAGAGGGACCGACAATTTCCTTGTGTTTAACTCCTCGACACAACTGACACTCGACTTCTTTCACACAATCAAGAGCCCTGATCCACTGCTTAAAATCATTTCAATTAAAAACATTTGATACTCGATGATTTTTAAGCGTTTAAGTTAATTTTTTTGTTTATTTTGCTGTTGGTTTATAGATTTTCCCTGATTTTCTGCATTTTTCCAGCACTGTGGGAAGGAGTCTACAAGGGACAAAGTATTCTTAAAATGTCAGCGCTGATGAAAGGCAAGGTGCCTGAAACTGTTTCTTGTGGCTTCAATAAGAAGCTGAAAATGCTCAATAAAATGCACTTTAAAGGCAAGGTTTGTAATTTTCTCCAGATACACTTCTTAAGATTTTGGTTGAAATTGTCTTCAGGTCCTGACAGAAATTAAAAGTAAAGAGGAACTGCTGCAGATTTCATAGTTTATTGTATCGTCAATTATAGCAGCTGCATAAAAACAGATCATTTATTTATATGATTTAAGTTGAGAGGAAGTTTATGCTGAGAGGTGTAATCTGTGGAATAAATAAAGACGACATTTCTGGTTCAGTGGCATTGATTGGTTTTTTGTTGTTAAAACTGTCCATCAAAAGTCTGATAAAGTTATAAGGGCTCAATACTTAACTGATGAGATATTCTAACATTTTAGTTTCAGGACTTTTACTTGTTGAAGATGATTTTATATTTGGATAATGGCACTTTTAATGAAATTACCTAAATTTCAAATGCTTCAATATTAAATAAGTGGATTTACAAACCAAGTGAGTACAGTATTTATGTCAATGGGCAGGTAGTCCAATGACCAGTGTGCTCTTTCTATTTTAAGAAAGTCTGCTTGGAAAATATCCAATATAAATATAGAGTTTTATCAGGTGGCCGTGTGTCATTTCGTGTCTTTACAGGG